TCATTTATGTCCTATAACTTCATGTTATCTGCTTCACTTACCTAATGTTTTGGAAAGGTAACAAAGTTGAGTATTGATTCATTTAACTACTTGCGAGTTATAGAGTTGTTCATCTATGAATCATATGTTCATTTGCTGCTCATGCGGTAATCAGTATGGTTCAGCTGTTTATCAGAATTATATGTGCATTACTTAAGCATTATTGCATGCATATTATAGCATCTGTAAATTGTCAGGAAAAAATATGACTACAAAATATAAATATGGCATCCGTCACAAAGAAATAACTTTTGACTTTTTAATCATAAAAAAACAAATAATATGTTCTGTTGTCATTACTTGCAAACACACCTGTCTCTGACTGCCCTTCTGCAGCTGTTTCTGTCTCCCCCTCGTACCCTGCGGGCTGACTCTCCTCACCCCCCCTCTCCATGTTCCCGCTTGTCTCCCACGGGGACACGAAGGGGTCGAGGAAAGACAGTACCGCAGAGAACTTCCACTTCTTCCCTGACCCTGCTGCTGACCCACTTCTCTTCTCCGTCTCCTTTCTCCTCTCCTTCAAATATGTGTCCCTCAGACTCTTCCACTTCTTTCTGCACACTTCCTCTGAATAAACAACAACCCATAAGTGGGAAAGTAGTTGTCACATAATTATGGTTTTAATAAGCTGAAGTAGCTGGCTTCAGCTTGCAGTCTCAATACGTAAACACAGACATATATGAGTATTGAGTACTGTTTTATTTACTTACCAGATTGTCCGACCTCCTCACTCACTTTCTGTCAAGCAAGATCCTTTTTACTCCTGTTTCTGTAGTGAAATGAGCTGCTGTCATACAGCTTGGGATGGCCGCAGACCACAACGATAACCCGCTCCTCCATTTTAAATTCTGCCTCCTCTCGTCATGTCAAAAGGACGCAACTACTGGAGCAAGCTCCTGATTGGTTAACGCGACGCGAATGTCCGCCAAAGTTGAGATTTCTGAATTTGAGTGATTCGCTCGTCAAACGCGCAAAACGCTTAATTCGCGCAGCGCCTATCGCACCATTCGCGCGCAGGACGTCTATTCGCGCGTTTGCATTGACTTAACATGTAAATCACTCGCGCCGTGTCCAGTGTGAACGCAGCATTAGAGAGAACAAGTCTGTTTATATTTCACTAGTCTAAATTGCAGTTATCTATTTAACTTTAGTTTACTTAGTTAAGATGCCTGCACTAAAGATAATTGTTTTTTTCTGATTAGTCTATATTGGAGGTATGTATTAATTGTTGTTTACTCGGGTATTCTGACTGTACTAAAATGTGAAAACTAAAAAATTCTGTGACCATTAACTCACCTTTACTTGTTCCAAACAAGATTTTATTTTATTTTTTTCTGATGTTGAACAACAATATCCAACTTATAATCTCTTTAGTTGTTGAAAACAGTAAATGCTGAATTAAGATTGTTCTTTTGTTTAATGTTTGATTATTTATATTGTCAGACAGCTAAAAAATGTCACTATATGTGTTAAATCAGCTGCACAAAGCGATTGGCATACAAAAAATCTTGTAAAATTGATAGATATAAAGATTTTACGTTTATCGTGATAAATATCGATATCAACTGATATGTAAAAAATTATTGTGATATTTTTTTTTGCCATATCGCCCAGCTCTACTATACAGTAGCGAGAACAACATCAACTGCATTACAAGTTCAAAACAAAAACAACACCTGGTACCGTTTAAACCATTGTACCAGATTTCCTAAGCTAAGAAACAGTAAAAAAAAATGTAGCAATCTAGCACAGAATCATCTCTCTTGAATTTCATCATGGACAACATGAACTGGTTGGAGGAGAAACAGCGGACCTGTCGATTTATGTAAAACCGCCGGCCTCTGGGGAACAACAGGAGGACCCTACTATGGAAGGAAATCATGCTACTGTCAATGATAATACAGAATGCATATGTGAACATGAGTAAAGAGATAATCTTTCCCCAGATGAAGGACAATCGGGTAATGGAATGGAATAAGACCTATCAACAATCGACTTCCCAGGTTTACTGGAAAAGGGAGAAGCTGACCGATAAGCTGAAGGGGACCACTGCTGCATCAATATTATAAAAATTAACCTCCAGAGGTGGATAGTAGTCAAGGAAAATGCTGGACAAGACAAAAACTTGAGTAACTGGTTTGCCTCCATATTTGGATCTTGGGGACAATGGTTGATAAAGTTGACGTATTTGAAGGTTACCATACTTGTTTTAGCTTAACTTTGTTGCTGTGTTGTGTCATTCATCAGATCAATGCTAGCCAGTGCTGCTGCCACACACATGGTTACTGTGCAAGTACAAGGAACAGTGCAAGCCCACCTCAACAGTGACTATGGCTATGAAAATATGCTTCCAAAATCCTTAGATTGGTCCGTTTATGAGAACGTTACCCCAAACTTGGTTGGATGAATATCAAACCTTTTTTTTCTTTTGTTTTTGAGTGTGCCGTAGTTCTTGTTTTTATGCTATTCCTGTTTTGTGGAAAAGTAAGGGAGATAGTGTATAACATGTATTTTATTTTCTTTGATTTCAAGCGTAGACAGACCTTTAGAATAATGAATAGTGTTGGCAGGTAGTTAGAGGATATTTTGTTTTTTATTTTGGCACTTAGACTCTTACATATATATGCCAAAAATTATTCCTATACTATGCAAGTACTTTTAAGTTGTTTTCTATTTTCTATTTCTTTCTTTCCTCTCTTGTTCTTTGTTATCAGAATGACATGAATGAAAAAAGGGTTTCAAGCAGGTCATTATCTGTGCTACGAGACAGAAGTGCAAACAGAAGGACCTGAAATTAAGGATATTAATCCTATAATCTACAATATTATCTTTTAATACTATATTGGTTATGTTTCTGGGTATGAAATGGACATTTATCGAAGCTGCAGGGTTCACATACTCACAGGGAAAGAGGACTTGAACTGAGTGCTTAATGGAACCAACGATCATCTCAAAGCTGGCGAATGCTGTAAGAGTAGGCTATACTGGTGGCTGAAAAGCCTGCTGCTCGCTCCAACACCAGACAGTACTTAGTAGTACCTCTGGCAACGTGGGAGCAATCATCTTAAGACCAGGAGACAGAATCTTTTAATCCTTTCTAGTCAAATAAAGGGGGAGATATTTGGTTCTGCCTCTCCACTGGAGTGCAACATAGGGATGTTGACATTTGGTAAAGACTGTGAAAGGCAACTTTGTGTTGCATTAGTGAGGTTGATTGTACTGATATGTTGGTACCTTATGCTGCATTCCGGTTGTGGGTTTGGAAAGAGACTTTCTTCTGATATAGTCCCTCTAAAGGCTGATTTATACTTCTGCGTCAAGCCCATGCTTATGCTACGGCGCTGACGCATAGCCCTACGCCGTGGCAATCGCTGACGTGCACCTCTCAAAAAATGTAACTACACATCACAACGACGCGTAGCGCAAGCTCTGTGATTGGTCAGCTTAGTAGCGCTGACGAATCTAGGCGGGACTGAGCCGCGCAAGGCCAATAGAGCAATTGTTTACAAGTGTGGAGTCCCGTGAGAGAGCTCCAGATAAAAAGTTTTGTTTTGTGTTTACCTCATAGTAAAGTTGTTGCACGTCCGCCGGTTTATGCTTCAAAAAGAGCAAGTTTGAGTCACTTGTACATTCAGGAAGTGTTCAGGAAAAACAAAGCACCAGCGAAGAAACTCGACACAGAGGAACATTTACACCTCACTGCCAACTAGCGTTTCGGAAGTGTTAATGCAGACCAACAGTGACAGCGCGCAGAAGTATAAATGCACAGCTACGCGTTGAATATTTAGCAGACCAGAATATTTTTTCCACAACAATTTACAGTCACTTGTCCAAAAGTCTTTGAATAAATCATAAGGTATGAACTCCTATTTTATAAACATACAAGGGCAATTATTGTATATTTGCTCCGTGCGCTGCTCCAGATAGCCAAACAAGCTACATCATCCTTTACCTTAGGTTCTTCACAACAAAATTAGTCCATTTTCAGCTTTTTCTGTTCTTGTGTGAATGAGTAATCCCCTGCTTTGTCTTGTAAGTGCCAAATGCAATAAATTTGGGTCATGAAATTCCAAAATTCAAAAAAATACAATAACGTATTTACAAAATGACATTTTTTGTAACTAGTCATTTTTCAAAATCTTTTGTTAGACTTTGCACATTACTTTTCTAAAAAAAATTCACACACACACACACATATATATATATATATATATATATTTATATATATATATATATATATTATTGCAGTTTATATATATTTGTACATTATTTATTTTACATTTAAAGTGTGAAGGCCGTTTGGACATTGAAAAATAAAATGGAAAAAAGTCTTACTGGGCTATTTGCTTTTTTGATATATTGTTATGATTTTGATGTGGTTATGAAGAAGTAAAATTATGATTTTTGTGATAATAACCTTTGTAATATCTTGTTTTTCATTTTTGACAGGTAGGAAACTTGTGTTGTTTTTCCCACCCTTCGGTTGAACTAAAATGATTCTTGCATACTACATGATTAAGACAAAATAATTTTTTCTCGTGCGTCCTGACATATGCTGGTAACAAACAAAAACTGTCCTCAGTTTGATAGAGCACACAGGGCCTGAGTTATGCACTAAGGCTGGCTTTAAAAAAACAAAGCTGTTTGTGTTGAGGTGGTTCATCATAGGACAGACAACATATATAATAATAGTTAGCATTTAACAGCAGTGTTTTTTGTAATTTCAAAGGGGTTTCTTTAAAAATGGCATTAAGATATTGCATTTATTGTACTGTATGTGGGTGTGGTGAGACTTTAAATTTAGGTAGGGGGAAATACTTTTTTTTTTGGCATGTTACCTTCTTCCAGTTGGAATAGAATAACTCTTGCATGCATTATTATAGAGAGAAATTTATTTTTCTTGTTTTTACTGACACCTGCTGGAAAGAAATGGAATTTTGATGGAGCACTCAAGGCCTGAGTAACACATTTTCTAACTTCAGTTTATTTAAAACAGTATTTTATGAAATTTCAAAGGATTTCTTTTAAAATCATACCAAAGTTTTGTATTTATTCCTATGCATGTGGTTATGGAAAGCTTTTTAAATCGGAATGCCAAATTCAGGCGGAAATACCCAAAATAGCCCAAAAGCTTAACAGGTTAATTTCTGATGAGCTGCTGAAACTCATCCCACACTGAAGCTGCGGTCACACTAGAGTTTGAGCATGCGACATTTTGTTTTATGGTGCTGCGAAAAGGGGCGGGATTCAACAAGATTATTAGACATTAAAAAACGTGAGCGATTGTCCAGAGAGGTCATGTTTTGATCTTCGAGTCAAGTAATGCGATTTCGCAGGTCAGAGTTCACCAAGCTTGAACTCTGCAACGCAGTGAACTGTAAAACCTGACCCACAAACTTTCGTTTACAGTCTGGCGCATTTGCGTGCATATAAATGGAAGTCTATGGGGAGAAAGGTCCAGTGTAACTGTGGCTTAGGTGCAAGTGAATGGTTTCTCTCCAGTGTGGATCCTCATGTGTCGGTTAAGTTGTGATGATTGTATGAAACTCTTCCCACACCGAGTGCATGTGAATGGTTTCTCTCCAGTGTGGATTCTCATGTGTTCTTTAAGAGATGATGAGCGTCTGAAACTCTTCCTACACTGAGTGCATGTGAATGGTTTCTCTCCAGTGTGGATCCTCATGTGGTGATTAAGGGATGATGATTGGCTGAAACTTTTCCCACAGAGAGTGCATGTGAATGGTTTCTCTCCACTGTGGATCCTCATGTGTTGTTTAAGAAATAATGAGTGTCTGAAACTCTTCCCACACTGAGTGCATGAGAATGGTTTCTCTCCAGTGTGGATCCTCATGTGTTTATTAAGGTGAGATAAGCAACTGAAACTCTTCCCACACTGTGAGCATGTGGATGGTTTCTCTCCAGCGTGGATCATCATGTGGTAATTAAGGTGTGATGATTGGCTAAAGCTTTTCCCACACTGAGTGCATGTGAATGGTTTCTCTCCAGTGTGGATCCTCATGTGTTGATTAAGGTTTGATGATATGCTGAAACTCTTCCCACACTGAGTGCATATGTATGGTTTCTCTCCAGTGTGGATCCTCATGTGAATCTTAAGATCGCCTTTTCTTCCAAAATTCTTTCCACACTGAGTGCAGGTGAAACGATTTTCGTCTCTTTTTTTCAAAATACCATCAGTCTGTAAATGAGTTTTTTCCTCAATTTTGACATGATGTTCCTCTTCTTTACTCCCCTTATTCTCTTCAATTAGATCTAAAATAAAAAAAATAAACAAAAAACAGTTTTCATTAAGTCTTCAAAATCTCATCAAAAGCGTAAAGGTGAAAAGACACTGGAAACATTGGCTACACACTGTAATTTTGATGCACATTAAATGTAAAATAAATCAGATCATATTTTGTTCAGTCCATTAACGTGTGCACATTTAAGCAGATTCAATTCAATTCATCTTCATCTAGTGCTTTTACATTGTAAATTGTGCTGAAGCCACTTAACTTAGAAGTTCTAATAAATTGAAACTGTGTCAGTCCAGTTTTCAGAGTTTCTCATAAAAGTAATTTTGGTCATATTGATAAGACACAGATTTGAAAGCTGTAAGTGGCCTATTTTTATTCATATATATTCAGAATTACAACAAAATGTTTTTCTAAAATTTGTTAAGCAGACAGGGAATACTTGTTCATTCTGTGCCTGACTGGTAAACGCATCGAAAAAAAAAAAAAAAGTTCTGAGGTAACAGTTGAACAAACAGCTGAATATTTGTCTCGCAAACATGAGACATACCTGTACAGCATCTGCATAAAGACTGAAATGTGCACCTTTCCCCTTGTGTGCTGTTGGGTCAATTTCATCCATTCTGGGTTGACTTTGTGGATTAATTTGGTCAAAACTTTCTGTGTTTTAGCAAAAGGATTGATATTTGGAAACATCTTATTTTGACATATTCTAGCATCTATCATATTATTTTATAGCTATATTCTACTGTAACATGCTACGTCAGAGTTAGCATTAAATTATAAATCGACTTTCTTATAAATATAGCTAAGATGGCTGGAAGTACACATATAAACCATTTATGGGCGCAGTCGTGTAAATGATCAGTTGAAGCCTTTTAATATTTATTCAGATCTTATTTTCATTCAACAGCAATAGCTGGATGCCTTCATCCATATTAGGGATTTTGGCATATATGGAATTTCTGCTCAAGTTTAAATGAAACAGGCATTACATGCATTTAAAGTGCTACAATGCCCACATCAACCTATTTTGAGGAAAACTGAAAAAAAAAAAAAAAGGAAGAATTTTCTTCTTAAGAAATATTTTTTTGTACCATTTTTGATACAATTGTTGTTACATCAAAAATAGTAGCCTATCGAACATCAATATATAGCAAGGTAATGAATTCAGAAATTCCAGTATCTGGACAACATTACACCTTAGTTAAAAATTCTGTCCAAAAGAACATGCTTGCAGCTTCGTATCACATCGAATAACAACTCACACTACAACATAAATTATATTTTCAGATTTGAAGACAATTACATTTTCAAAAAACAAACAGAAACTGCAAATCAGGAGGAGATCGGAGGCTCAAGAGGTATGATATGGCTCATAACAGACTATTAAATGAGAAGTGGGTTAATTTATCAATGTTTTTTTTCCCTTTTTGATGTTACGAGTTATGCTGGATCTAATCTCACTATATTTGCTAAAAGTGATATTTAATTCATCTTGTTCTCTATATCTAACATAGGGCTGGACAATAATAAAATATCAATGTATCACGATAGATTTTTTTTCAATAACGGTGATATGATTTTTAAACCCATTTCCGATATTTCGATACATTTGTGTATATGTTTTACATATGTTTTATCATATCTATATATATATATATATATATATATATATATATATATATATATATATATATAAAAGATTTTCTATCTTGTATCATTTGTCACTAAATGACTTTACTTGCTCAGAATCAGCGTGATGTCACTTGCATGATGGCAGCGCTCAGAAGTTGGTTAAGCTGCTCTGTCACAGAAAGCTACAAAATGAGCGACCTAAATACAGATATAGAGGAACAAGCTTCCACAAGTAAGAATGCAGACAAAGTAGTTGATGTGGACGTTGTTTGGCTTTTTAAGTTCCGATCAGCTTTTTGTTTCGGCGCTCTGCAAACTGTGCGGGAGAGCGATGCCGACTAGCATCGTAAACACATCAAATAGGTTCATAAAAGTTTAAGTCAACCTGTCGCCTCACCATCCACCTTCCCGACACCAAACACAGAAGGCTATGAGGCGCAGTGTAGGGTTTTGCATATCTACACATGAATATACATATATAAACATATACTATGTTCAAACAAGTATGACACTTGCACATATATAAACCTACTGCATGCATACACCCACATACACATGCACAGACATATAAACTCGATCCGAACATAAACTTGATCCTTGGATAAACACCCAAATTAACACACACACACACACGAAACTCTCTGCATGCTGGTATAGCACTCAAGGAAACTTGCAAAATAAATTTCACAAAGATATGTATTAGGAATCTGGTTATTTCAAAGCTGATGAAATAGAAAGAATTTGATTAATAGAAGTATTAAATCTGTTAAATAATGAAAATGTGTTATACAAAATATTAGTTTATATAAATAGACTATATAAAAAAATAGAAGAACTATTTTATGTTAAATCTTTTAACTTACTTAGGTAAATACATACACAAAAATAGTCAGAAAGAACCCTTAAAAGATGTTTAAGATAAAAAGCAACCAGAACATAGTCAAACAACTCTTTTCTTTTGGAAATATTAATGTAGCCTATAATCTTTTTGATTTGTTTTTTAATTATAATTATTATTCTTTTTCAATTTTTTTTACGATGTGGATTTTGGTATTATTTTGATTGTTATATATATATATATATATATATATATATATATATATATATATATATATATATATATATATATATATATATATACACACACACACACACACACATAAAAAAAACTCTGATAAAAGTTTCTGTCCATCACGCTGGTTAAGCTAACCCCCATGAACTAAGTCTGTATATATAAAGTCTGTTTGTAAAGGAAAAATAGAAAGATAATTTTATTTAAAGAAAAGTTATAAGAGCCTGGAGGTATTATAGACTTTGCTAATTCAGTTTGCAGACATTTGTAGGTACATGCATCTATTGTGTACGATTTTGGCAGTTTTTTCTTGTCTTTTGAATATTGTCCATATCGATATCGGAATTATATCATATCGACCGAAATTAAGAAGTATATCGTAATATAAATTTTTGCCATATCATCCAGTCCTAATCTAACAACATATTCCCCGACTTTGGTCTTTTGAATCTATTACTTGTTCTCAGGTAACGTGTTTTGGCTGAGCGCAAAGATAAATTAATAATGAATGTAACCACATTCTGTATATTGACTGATCGCTTGCCTTTATTTCCTGCTATGTATAAACTTATTGTACATTATACTTTTATAATGGCCATTATAGGCTCTGTTTTGTTATGAATATGCATACAGTGAAGATGAAGCTCTTATATGAATCTACATGATGCCTAAACATTTCTGCTGTCTTTTAATTTGTTAATATCAAAACAAAAATAGCAGTTCCTTCTATCATGTTTTAATTTTATTGTTAAGATAGTGAAACAATGTATTGGATGTTGTGAATAAGGATTTAAAAGTACACCGTTCCCTTTGAAGATTTAAGACAAGTCCTCAAGAGTCTGTTTTCCATATCAAACTTGCGAAGTCTGAACTTAAAAGGAGAGGATGCAGGACTGAACTGTGTGTAGGCTACTGATAAATCTAAATATTATATAGAATATAAATAATAAAAATATATATATATATAAAAAAAAAAAAATATATATATATATAAAAAAAAAAAAAAATATATATATATATATATATATATATATATATATATATATATATATATATATATATATATATATATATATTATAAATCCACTGATAAAAGTACTTGTAAATACACTTTACATATAACTAAAGGCAGGGGTGTCAAAAAACCGGTGTCCAAGGGGCTATTCCATAAACCAAGCGTACAGAAAAAGCCAGGCTTATTTTAGTAAGTCAAGTTCGTTAATGGCAGATTCGGTTTCATAAATCAAATTTAAATTGTTCAAACTTAGTTACCCCTGGCACAAATCTATTATTGTAAAGCATCCTGTAGAAAAGAGGGGTGTTCTTAGCTCTCTCTCTCTCTCTCTCTCTCTCTCTCTCGAAGAGCTAGCGCATGCCGCATGTCTTTGGATTTGGGGGAAACCAGAGAACCTGGAGGGAACCCACACGAGCACAGGGATAAGAAAGATACTGCCTAATTTAAAGAAGAAGACTACATTTCTTAAATAATGACTTTAAAGCTGTAAAATTAGTTGAATAATCGGGAGATAATCCGTGCTGTGCAGCAGCCTCACTTTAATGTAAAGATATTTTCCCACGGGCCGCGGGAAAAAAGTGGCAAATGGAAAGCAACGATTTGCCGCAGATTCGGGAGCAAATTAAAAATCTTACTGCTTGTGCGTGCACGGCTCTTTGTTGATTTTAAACCTATGTGCTTACATTTAGAACATTTTGTACATTACAGTGAGCCTGCAATGCATTAAAACTTTTCCTTGCAAGCAAGAATTGGAAATAAGTGCAAATTCTCTCTCTCACGCACATGCGCGCGGTCAAGCACAATTACTATGTATTATAACAAATATTTAATTTCATGTTAATAGGTGTAAAAAAATAGCATATATTTTAAAATATATTGCAACTAATGTAGCCTATTGAACAATCTGCAGTTTCGCGGCTCACTCGCTGTGAACAGCTGTGTCTCATTTTAGAGCACTTTCAGTTCTCTAAGTTGCCATGGTAGCACACAACATAACAGATGTATCTATGCTCGACTTTTAAGGTTTCACGACAGAAACGTGCGCGAGCAGTTATCTAGATTATTTAAACTAAACTCAGACTAGTCAGATCAAATGATCTTCAACTTGCTGTTATGGAATCAATTTAAGCATGGACGTTTAGTTCAGCTCATTCAAGTCAGGCTTTTGACTTTAATCACCGCTTTTTTTTGGCCAGATTGGGTAGAAAAACATGAACAAAGGAAAATAAAGACTTGTTTAAAAAAGACACAATACAGCACAATATTTCAGTAAATTTAAGACTTTTTAAGGCCTAAAATGTTAACTCTTTTATGAAAATACTGTAGGTCAAATATCATCAGCTCAGTTAAACCTTTTATTAATTTATTGTTTTTATTTATTTTATAAAGCACCAGTGCTCAAGGACAGTTTAAAAAAAGCAAAAGAACAAGAAAAGCAATAACCTTAAGAAGGTAGAGAAAATGGGAGACTAATAATACATAAAAGAATGACAAAACACATGAGAACAAGTGATAAAAGAAACTCATTCTTGTCTTTCAATTAGTGCTTGTGTGCATTTAGGAGAACTAGGCAGCACACTCAGGACTGCAAGATGGATTTAATTTAGTATTCTTATTATTAAAATATATCTGAATGAGGATCAAATTACTGAGTTTGTCTTTGAGTATAAAAACTAACCTGTTTGTTCCTGCAGATCTTCCTGTTTGACTGTGAATGTTTCTTTAATCTTCACATCTTCACTCTCCTCTTTAATAAACGCCATCTTTATAACAGTGTGGAGATCAGTCGCTTCAGCAGGAGTTTTTCTCAGCGTTTTGACACTGTGTCCTGTTTAAAATGAACAAAACAATATAAATGTCCTGTTTAAAAGTAATAAATCAATGAACAGAAACAAAATAACTTCTCTTCAACACTTGCTTCAACAGTTTCTTTTAATTATCAAAACGAAATCAGGTAAAACATTTCTTTAAAAATAGAGGAAAAATTGGTTTTATATTAACACATTCTGACTTTCCCCTTAATAATATAATTTCATTAAAGTATTCTTTGCAAACTCTATATAGCGAAATCATATTAGCAGCAAATGACTATCAAAGTACAACATTGTTCACAGTCAAATAAACAGTGTTAATGTTGTTTATAAGTCACACTTGCATGCTAATTCCAATCAAATATTCAAAGTAATATGGTAAACAATATAGAGACTTTTAAATGAACAAATGTGTGAATATAAAACCAACTTTACCTCTATCAGAAAAGTTTGGGAAACCCTGCTTTAAAACACTTATTACACCCTTTTCTGTTTCAAACAATAGCCCTCGGCTACTGAGAATAAAATAGTACTACACTGTATAAAGGGTTTAAATATTATTGTCAACAGCAGGTAAATAATTTAGCATCGGAAGAAAAAAATCCTGAAACTTTAATTTAATCGGTTTATATCTGTAAACGTTTTAAAGCACAAACCTTTCTTCAGTTAAATCACAGCGCTGAAGCGGCGCCGCCTGATGACGTCACACGCCACGCCAAAATAAGAGTCTTTCTTTTGTTTTGCTTTTTTGGCACTTACTGTTGCAGTCATGACTTAATGATACATTTCTCCCATGTTTTTCACTTTATACTATTTCTGCTCTCTCTCTTTCTCTCATATTTCACATTTTAGGTGCTTTTTTGGCATGACAAATAACTGTACATTCATATTGCCAAAGCAGTGCAGCGTCACTGCGTACGAACAAGACAGTGCAAAAAGGGCAGTAGTGCAAACAAATATGGATATAAAATATAATACAGAGAAAACACAGAAATAAATGAAATAAAAATAGATTAATAAAATTTAAAATAAATTAATAAAAATAAAAAGATTAATAAAAATATTTTTAAAAATAGATTAGATTTCTCTCTCTCTCACACACACACACACACTTCGGTATTTTACAGTTGATCAACAATTTTTAATCTAAACATTTTAAGACAATTTTGTTTCATATAAATTGTTGTCTCTTATTATCTGTTCCGTGTTTCCTGCCATTCTTTGGCAATATCTTTAGTGATAATATTAAATTTACCTTTACTTACAGAAGCATTAAAGGAGTAGTTCACATAAAAATTACAATTCTGTAATTTACTCATCCTCCACTCGATCCAAACCTGTTTGGAATGACCTCCATCCTCCCAATCCTTAAGTCCTTCTTTGATGCCATGGGGCTGCTACACTGTGTGAGTTTCTTCTGCTGAATATAAAAGTGATCATACATGAAACACCTGGGATCAGGAGAGGTATCTGATGTTACTGCATATAAAAGTGATCATACATGAATCTCCTGGGATCAGGAGCAGCGCTGTACTGAAACCCCTGGGAAAAAGTATGAAGGTATTTTTGGGGCAAATCTCCCCTGAATCTCCCCAAATCTGTAATTTGTTGTTGTAAAGAATAGCCACCAATGTGTATCAGTAAATTTGTACTTGCAGAGCAAATTTGCAAAAGATGGCGGCGCCCGGTACGGCAGCGGCTACTCCGGCTCCGTGTAACGATGTGAGTTTTATGTTAAATGTGTCGTCTGAATCATCTCAGTCATGTACGAGAAAAGTCTACAACAGAGACCTACTGCTTGGTCTACGAAACACGAACTTTTCAAACGATTTCTCTGGAATTATGTTTGCTTTGGATCACAAAATTCTCGACGAGCTAGGTATCCTACGACTGCAAGACCCAGAGGCCTGCAAAGCAGCGGTCTCCCCTCCCGATACTGGCCGATGCTTGAGGCGACGTAAGCGGTGGGAGGGACGTAGCACTCGTCGCAAGCGGTGTGCTAGACCTAGCAAGCGAGGGAGTCGAGCGGGTATTAGCGCAAGGCTAAAAGCTAAACCATACAGACCTGCACTTCCTGCGATTCTGCTTTCCAACGTTCGCTCGCTGGAAAACAAAATGGACTATCTCAGATTGGATCTAAATACACAAAAGAAGGTGAAAGATTGCAGCGCCATCGTCCTCACCGAGACATGGCTTAACCACAGCGTTCCAGATAACGCTATTCAGGTGGACGGACTAACAACATTCAGAGCGGACAGGAGTCACGCACTCACTGGTAAGCTACGAGGTGGTGGAGTGGCAATCTACATCAATAACAACTGGTGCACAAATGCTAAAGTTCTCCGAAGTCACTGTTCTGAAGACATAGAATTTTTAACAGTTAAATGTCGTCCAGCATACTTGCCAAGAGAATTCTCAGCCGTGACTATTACAGCCGTGTATATACCGCCCAGTGCGAATACAAAAGACGCACTTACTACATTGTATCAATCTGTGAGCTCGATGCAGGACTCAAACCCGGACTCTGCCTGTATAATTGCTGGCGATTTTAATCAGGCCAAACTAAAGACAGTACTCCCACACTTTTTTAAATATGTGGACTTTGCAACCAGGGGAGAGAACATTCTGGACCAGGGGCCTCATGTACGAAGACTTGCGTGGAAATCTTACTAAAACATTGCGTACGCACAAAGCTGTAAATGTGCGTACGCAGAAAAAAATTCAGATGTATGAAACACTGCGTACGCCGAATCTCACGCATATTCTTTTGTACATCTGAATGAACGTGAAACTGAGCGCAACATGCACGAGCACAAAACCCCTCCCTGCCTCCTCCCCTGTATGAATATGCTAATGACTATGCTAATGGCAAAACCCAACGAAAAAGCAATGGAAAAAGCAAGCAAAAAGAGAAACTTTGAACAGAATGTGAATTGGAGGTGCTGCTTTCGGAGGTAGACCGGAGAAAAGCGGTGTTATTTGCAAGTTTGTTCTCCGGAATTAACAACAAAAGAAAAAAATAGAGTGGGAGAGTTTAACTGATGCGGTTAACACAGTTGGGTCTGAACATTGCACTGAGTGCATCAAAGATAGAAATAGTGTGGTTTATATCTGTAAAATGTTGCGGTACCCTTACCAGTCTCAGTGGCGCACCTTGTAAGACGCATGTGATCATGAATAGTTCCGTTCGAGCATGAACTCGGCTCGAATCTAGCGTCTGATGATTTCATTCTTGTTTTTTCCCCCGCAACATATCAGATTTTGCCCACTATTTATCACGAGAAAGACAAGTAGGAATCATCAATAAGCATCATATTTTATTTGCACATTTATTGAATGGAAATGTTTCTGATTCACGCATGCAAATTCATCTTCAGATAGTGTCTTTATAGCAATGTGCGTGCGGTGGATCGCTCAGATTACATTGGGAAAACAGGCGACTGCTGCAAATTGTGCTTTAATGTTTGGCTGGTCAAATGTATGGTATGGAAACCTTATATACCTGCTGAACCCGTCTCATACAGCTGCCATTGCAAGGCTCAGACACTTTGTAGAGGAATTTAACACAACTGCCTCTAGGAGTCGCCAATGGAAATAAAACAGACACGCACAAAAAATGTGCGTACGCCTGCCAGAAAGCTGCCGTGAAGTTGCGCACATTCCCACGTTCAGTTCATTGTTAGTAAATCCAAACGTGAGCGATTCTGAGCGTGAAACCTGGCGTACGCAAAGTTTTTGTGCGTACGCAGCGTTGATACATGAGGCCCCAGGTCTACTCAAACATCAAACAGGCATACAGAGCTGTTCCCCACCCCCATCTGGGTAACTCGGACCATCTTTTTGTTATACTTATGCCATCTTACAGGCCACTGTTAGTGAGAAACAAAGCTTCTGTGAAGCAGATCCGAACCTGGCCAGAGGGGGCCACTTCAGCCCTCCAAGACTGTTTTGACTGCACAGATTGGGCTGTTTTCAGGGAGGCTGCCACTTCCAACCAGCTTGTTAATATAACGGAATACACTGAATCTGTGACAGGATATATATCCAAATGCATAGAAGATGTGACCGTCATAAAACACATTACCACAAGGGAAAACAATAAACCATGGTTCACCAGAGAGGTTTGTGAGCTTCTAAAAGCACGGAATGTAGCTTTCAAGTCCGGAGACAAAGAGGCCCTCAGAATTGCCAGGGCCAACTTGAACCGGGGCCTGAGAGTAGCAAAGCCTGCCTATGGACGAAAAATCCAGTCACACTTTACTGACATAAATGACCCCAGACGCCTCTGGCAAGGCATCCAGTCAGTAACAGACTACAGGCCTATACCTCCACCGTGTGAGGACAGCACAGTCTTCTTAGACTCACTCAATTCATTCTTCAGCCGTTTTGAGGAAAACAACAACATCATTCAAACAAAAGCTCCACACTGTGTGGACGATGTAATACTTCAACTTGACCCTGCTGATGTGCGGAGGACCCTTCAAAAGGTCAACCCCTGGAAGGCTGCTGGTCCTGATAATATACCTGGGCGTGTGCTTAGAGACTGTGAAAACTCACTTACAGATGTTCTCACAGATATTTTTAACATTTCTCTGAGTAAAGCCATTATACCAGAAAGCTTCAAAGCTACTACTATCATACCGCTACCTAAGAAATCACCAGTCACAACACTGAACGACTACCGGCCTATAGCACTTACGTCCATCATAATGAAGTGCTTTGAAAGGCTGGTTAAGGCTCACATAACATCTAGCCTACCTGCCACATTTGACCCTTTCCAGTTTGCTTATCGTTCCAAGCGTTCCACTGATGATGCCATAGCAACAGCACTTCACCTCAGCCTGGCTCATCTGGAAAACAAAAACAGCTGTGTGCGGATGCTGTTCATTGACTTCAGCTCTGCCTTTAACACAGTCATACCACAACACCTGGTGGGAAAACTCAGAGCTGTAGGCATCAGCACCCCACTGTGCAACTGGTTATTAGATTTTCTCACCAACAGACCACAGACAGTAAGAGTCGGTGAAAACTCCTCACAGACCATCATCATGAACACTGGGGTCCCTCAAGGATGTGTGTTAAGTCCTCTGCTGTTCACACTGATGACTCATGACTGTGGTGCCAGATACAACTCAAATCACATCATCAAATTTGCAGATGACACAACAGTTGTGGGCCTCATCAGCAACGACGACGACTCGGCCTACAGAGATGAGGTACATCAACTCATCAACTGGTGTGACACTAATAATCTACATCTCAATGTACATAAAACAAAGGAAATAACTGTGGACTTCAGGAGGAATCACAGGTCACACCCCCCCCTCACCATCTATGGCAGTGTGGTAGAGTCAGTGAAAAGCACCAAGTTCCTGGGGGTGCATATTACCAATGACCTGTCTTGGTCTACCAACACCACCTCTCTGGTCAAGAAAGCTCACCAACGCCTCCACTTCCTGCGCAGGATGAGAAGAGCTAACCTCCCTCCACCGGCACTCACTACCTTCTACAAAGGTGCCATTGAGAGTATTCTGACCAGCAGTCTCTCAGTCTGGTATGGTAGCTGCTCTGCTGCTGACCGGACAGCTCTACAGAGGGTGGTGAGGTCAGCTGAGAAGATAATCGGATCAGCCCTACCATCCATTCAGGACATATACCCGCTCCGTTGCTACAAAAGAGCTAC